TGACACAATATCAAAGCATATGGAGGCCTTCAATTTAGTCAACACATCACCTATTAATTAAAATCGTATGCATGTATAGAAGATATTATTGTTGCCTGAAATGTCTGAGTTGGGTTGGTGTTGAAGATATAATTTTCTTAAATAAGCTTATCGTTGTCTAATAACTTAACTTTAAAATAAAATAATTTGACACAATATCAAAGCATATGGAGGCCTTCAATTTAGTCAACACATCACCTATTAATTAAAATCGTATGCATGTATAGAAGATATTATTGTTGCCTGAAATGTCTGAGTTGGGTTGGTGTTGAAGATATAATTTTCTTAAATAAGCTTATCGTTGTCTAATAACTTAACTTTAAAATAAAATAATTTGACACAATATCAAAGCATATGGAGGCCTTCAATTTAGTCAACAGATATAATTTTCTTAAATAAGCTTATCGTTGTCTAATAACTTAACTTTAAAATAAAATAATTTGACACAATATCAAAGCATATGGAGGCCTTCAATTTAGTCAACACATCACCTATTAATTAAAATCGTATGCATGTATAGAAGATATTATTGTTGCCTGAAATGTCTGAGTTGGGTTGGTGTTGAAGATATAATTTTCTTAAATAAGCTTATCGTTGTCTAATAACTTAACTTTAAAATAAAATAATTTGACACAATATCAAAGCATATGGAGGCCTTCAATTTAGTCAACACATCACCTATTAATTAAAATCGTATGCATGTATAGAAGATATTATTGTTGCCTGAAATGTCTGAGTTGGGTTGGTGTTGATATAATTTTCTTAAATAAGCTTATCGTTGTCTAATAACTTAACTTTAAAATAAAATAATTTGACACAATATCAAAGCATATGGAGGCCTTCAATTTAGTCAACACATCACCTATTAATTAAAATCGTATGCATGTATAGAAGATATTATTGTTGCCTGAAATGTCTGAGTTGGGTTGGTGTTGAAGATATAATTTTCTTAAATAAGCTTATCGTTGTCTAATAACTTAACTTTAAAATAAAATAATCTGACACAATATCAAAGCATATGGAGGCCTTCAATTTAGTCAACACATCACCTATTAATTAAAATCATATGCATGTATAGAAGATATAATTTAAATAAGTTTGTTGCTTCTCTAATGGCTTTAAAAAAAAAAAAAAAAAAGACTAACTTCAACTTATACATAAAATGCATGCAAACAACGTCAAGCCCTATTCAGATAATGCAATTGCTCAAACCCATGTAAAGATCAGGAGTACTTTCTATTCATTCGGGTATCACTGCCACCAAAATGGAATATTTCTTGAAGACAGGAATCTATCTTAGAAAACCCATCTTTTTGAAGGGTATGAACGTTTTTTGGGAGATACTGACAATCCAACCTCTTTACATAGTTCTTCATCCGGTTGTGAACTTAGAAAGCCAGTTCCTAGAAAATGTACCATTGCAGATGCGTCCTCGAAATTCCTCCGGATATTGAAAGATGTGGACATGAAGAGCTTTGAGGGTGAGGGTGTCTTGTTCAGTTTCTTAGTAGGCACGGCGTCCAGCTCTGCAGCTTCCAGAAACCGCTCTGTAGCTGCCTCCCAAGATAGCTCATGCTTTTGCGCATCGGTCAGGGGAGCAGGCTCATCTTGCAATGCCTTGAGTGTTTCTTCAACAAACCCATTGCCATCATCATACATTCGGCAATTTGGGAACCGCTTGAAGAAATCGTTTGAGGGATGATTAGCACATACCACTATCTTGCCCATTGCTAATGCTTCAGCTGTGGTTGTACAGACTACATCTGTGGTGCTGGGATTCAGGAATACCTTGTAGCTGGATTTAAGAGAAGAAAAGGCAACATTGAGATCAAATATGTAATCAACCATTGTATGGGTAACAAGGTTATAGTCCTATATATGCCATTAAAAATTCACGTAGCAAATAAAATCCTCGAGGAATGCAACCAGAAAACACGCAAACCACGTTTAGGGGGGAAGGGAATGGGGATGGAAGAACAAACATGAACAGACTTTTCTTTTCACTAACTTCAATATGTTCTTTTCAAAGAGACTCGAGAAATTATGCTGCAACACACACACACACAGAAGAGAGACGTAAACCCAGAAAGGAGAATGACTAATCAGTTTCATATGGGAGTGGAGATATTTGTTAATCTTAATTTAGGGAGAACTTCATCTGAGAAAGATACATCCCCATGACTTTCCAACTTTGAACAAATTTCTATCCCGCTTGCTTTGGATGATCTTCCTTCGTGAAAGTAACCATTGTCAATAAGTTAAGAGCAATGATACTAGGCAAATACATGGAATCAAATCGTTGAAGAAAAAATTCAGCCAAACCCTAAATTTGAAGAATAAAAAACTTAATAAATAGACAGCACAATATTCTACACTATCAGACGCAGCAATAACTGGTAGGACTTCATGGTGCATTCCTCTGGCGGATTCGATTTATTTGAAAACATAAAAACAGTAAACACTACAGAGATCGGTGACACTATAGTATTATATGGTTTTACCCATCTTCAAGTGAATTTCAAGATTGACTTGTGGTTTATCTATACCCCCTTCACAGCAACTTCTTCATAACCCCAAGGCAAAAGAGAGGAAATTTTATAAAGTTAAAAGCAAAGAAAGGGGAAGGGAAGGAAACTCAACAAACTAAATAAGCCCCGGAATTTGAATGGCATTGACTGTCCCAGGCCTAAGTTTGATTGTACATTTTTTCTTTTCGAATTTTTTTCCTGGAGGAAATGTTTTACATCAAACCAGAATTAGCTGATAGCGGCCTTTAAGGTCTTACTCGTGAAATAAACGATCAGCATGATCACGACCAGGGTGAACCCTGACTGGTATTTCCAGATTCTTGGCAGCTTCCTGAACTTGATCAGAGTCCTGTCCACTGCCATATAAATCAACCTCAAGACCAGTTAACTCTTTTTGATGCGCATGCAGAAGTTTAAGTAGCTCCTTGTAGCCTTTGTTCCACACCATCTTCCCAATGTAGTATGTGCTTTTTGTGAAAGCCTGCTCTCTATTCCACTGTTGCTCTTTCTTTTTCATGCCAATGTCAAGAAATCTTGGATTGACCCCATGGACATTGCAGATAACAGATCTCGGAAGCTCTTGGGTGGCAGCCGATAATCTTATCACCTGCCAGTGTTAGGCAAGGCATACTCATCAGCTAGCAGTTGAATAATTAACTACCAGCAATCAGAAAGATGCAACAGAAAAACTTCCTGAAATTCAGCAGTTAACTCTTGCCACTAAAATTTTATAGCAAGTCCTACAGTTTCATATTCAGATATTCTCTAAGCTTTATCTTAAAGAATAAACTACTATTTTTCTCTTAATCAGTGATGGTCATACGTAAAATTAGCATATTTCCATTGACATTGGCTGGCGCTTGTAAAATGACTGGAATATACATGCCAGATCTTATCTCTTTCTTTATTAAGAGAAATGATGCAATCCATTAGAAATATATAGAATTCATCTCAAGATCAATTTTGTCATTCGCCAATTGTCAAGGTATAATTGATGGTAAAGCCTCAAATAATCACAAATTTAATATAGGGATACCATTCAGAGAAATTTCAAACTCTGTCAGCAAGGTTTCCTCCTTGCTATGAAAGCTTTACAAGATGATGGTTATACATGAACTCGTTTTCACAAACAATCAAAATGGAATCAAAAACTATAGACACTCCAAGACGGTCTCCTTCATGTCATGAATATCCAGCTTCACAACAACAAAGTCATGAATACAACGTTTCAGATAACAACCAATAAACCTAACCATGCTGAATTTCGAGTTCCATTAATACATCTACAGTCTATCTAATCCAAAGAGAAAGAACGAAACAATGCCATGTTTAAGGACTTCAATATTATTATTCACCTTGATACAAATAAGCCATAGTATTTAATTTAAGACAGAAGGAAAATATAATCCAATGCATATAATCAATAAGTAATTCAAAAGGAGCTGTTTAGAAATCTACCTTATGACAATATATATTGACAACCCAACTATTTATGTATTTCAGAAAAAATGCCTGCAGTTGTCCATTCTTCTCTCTCCTCACATATTCCAAATAATTGGTGTGAACAATGCCTATAACCAGACGAAATTTTGTTTTCCACCTTTTACCATGATGATACCATGTAAGATGCTCGGGCTCCTCGAGGACTGCAATATCTGCCTCTTCATCCTGGATGATCTCAGTAATATCCCCTAGAGCAAGAATGCTCCTTTTATGAAGAGAGAACTGCAACATGAGAATGAAAGCATTATAAAATAATGATTTAATAGGGTTATTTTACTTAACTAGGTTCAAATAAGTACAATGCAGTAACAATAGAAAAGAAATATCAAATATCAAAGAAGCAAGAAGTATATTTTTGCAGAGGCAATACATCCAAAAAGGTCTCCATATTTAGGAAAGAGATGCGTGGAAAGGATAGGCTGACCCTGTACTATATACCAAGACTTCAACCAAATAAAATGCAGATAACCACTGATTCCTGTTGTTTGATAGATAAGATGGACAAATGATATGACAATTCAACAATGCGGTGCCTCATCCATATGCTAAAAGATTCACAGATCGTCTACATCAGAAACAGACTCCCAAAACCCTGTGAAAAGCAGTACACAAATATGAAAAACTCAGTTGTCCATGAATACAGACCCCGCAAAAGCAAAGATTTCAGTCCTGGATTTACAGTTCCAAACCATCAGAGGCTCCACTTCCTCTCTTTCTAGCACATCGAAAAGATGAAAAGGATATCTTATCATTGTAAATGGCCATATCTTAGCCTTACGGTGACATGAAGCCAATAGAATGTGATATGCCATCATGCCACAGTTCTGATGCCATGATCTAATTTGAGGTACTAATAATTCACATATTCCAAAAATCTTAAGGGAAACGATTAGCAGCTGTAAGTTCTCAAGTATCAGGAAATATTGAAATGTGTATGCTTTTTCACTATGAATAGGTACGCGAGAAATTGTAAGGAAATGGTATTCTTGCCAGACCAACTGAGGGAACGTCTAAGAATAAGTTTCCAACAAGATCAAGGTTCCCCATTTATGCATAATAATCACATCAGCCCTTTCTTTACTTTCAACAAGCAGCAGATGTATGCTAGCTTCACTCTCAACTTAAATAATAAAAATATCACTTACCCTTCCTGGATAGAAACGTATTATGAAAGGTGATGTGAACCCAATCCGTTCTTCAAGCCATTGGCGAACATATTTTTCTTGCTCATTCGCTGAATTAAAAGTTATATTGTTCGAATAGACATGTTCTTGGTCCTTCAATTTCAACCAAGGAATAACCAAGGTGACTTTTCTCTTGCCATCCCTTGCAAGATATGCTGCACGAAATAGAGGGTTGACAGCAGTCCCAGTTAGCCATGGAAGGCTCGCCGTAGTAAATATCGCAATGTGTTGCCTCTTATCCATACACTCATCAAATTCAGCTCTATTTTGTAAATGTCACATAACAGATAGGAATACCTAACTGACAGAGGTACACGGGAAAGGTCTTATCTGCATTGATAAATAAATTAAAATATTATTTGGTAGCTGTATGTCCTATCTAATTGAACAACCACACATTTCTTAAGAATAATTCTATAAGTTCGGGGAATTATTCTTAAGAAATGATACAGGTACTGCGTTGGCAGCATCTACCCAGTGCATTTTATGTGTTTGTTGTGTCAAATATCAATGAAATACAGCCAAATGTTTTTATGTAAGAATTCCGTCAAACGATTTTTATACTTGTAGCAAAATTGATTTCTTAATTGATAAAGATTCGTGAAAATTTAACGCTTTATATATATATATATTGAACAAGAGACGAAATCAATTAATTATAACATACAATTTCAGAAAGCAATTTACACCCAAATATGTAACTGTGCTCGAAATTCGTAATATCAACATCGCATAATTGATTTTTTTTCACACAGTTTGTACAATAATTACAAATCAAATCACAGAGATGAACACTTAAGCAAATCAGAGAGGAAAATACGAGCGATATACAAGGAATCAAATAAACCAAAAAATTACATTTACAAATCTTTTATTGCCGAAGATTAGAAAATAGAAATGAACTAAGATTCAAATGTTGCAGAAACCGCAATTTCTGGTGCCTTACCTGAGCATTGTTTCGTGGAATTGTTGAATTCCCAAATCCGGAACCTTCTACGTAACAATTATTCCTCGAAAAAATATTATAATAAACGATGTTTGCAAAATAGAAATAGGATCTCAATTTAAAGAAAATAATATTCGATTGAAAGCTCTAATGAGTTGGAAAGGAGAAGATTCGAATAATAATAATAATCGATGGGGTTGTGCATTTGCGTTAATCAGACTTCTTTATAGGACAGAAGCGGAAAAGTCGTACGCGCAGCGATTGGGGTTTACCAATGGAGGAATACAATTGGTTGATGTTGGTATATAACCGTGGCGTCTGGATTTGCTGGGTCCATCCATTATTGTCTCTCGTGGTTAAGGGTTGATTTTGTTCTTATATTAAAATGTTGGGGACTAATTTTATATTTTTTAAATGCTGAAGATCACTTTTTTACTGAATAATATGTTAGGGACCAATAGTAAATTTTTTCCTGATAAAACAGGGTTCCATCTCACGTTTTCGACGTCCCCTTTGCTTCTACCACACTCGCCCTTGGAGTACGTTTTTGGTTTTGTTCTTACGTAATAGCATGGCACACTAAGCTTTGTGGAATTAAAATAATATTTTTATCAGATTTTGATAAAAGTTGATGAAATATATAGTTAAAAAGTTATAAGACCCATTATATATGCTCTTAAAAATAATTGTTAACTTTGAATTTATGTGTCTCTTTAACATTTTAATTTTGAACTAAATCTAATCATCTAATTTAGTTTGAAAAACTATTTGAAATCAAACTATACTGTTTTAGTGTCTGAATTTATTTTTTTAACATTTTTGATAGAGATAGACGAAAGCATGAACCAATAAATTAACACAATCAAAACCCGTTGATCTCGTGGAATGTAAAAAATTGACAAACAAGACTCGTTGATTCGAATATCAATAAATGATTCATCGTCAAAATGGTTAATTCCAAAAATTAACACTACTCCGTGCTATTCCTCCACTCCTCCTTTTCAAGTCAATTTGTGTACCGGTCATGGCTTCAATGCCACTGAGTTACTTGAGATCTTATACATGGATACTTGTGGACCATTACCTACCCCTTGCATGAATGGTTGTCACCAAAAAATTCGGCCAGGTAAAACGCAATTTTTATGGGTACTTAGTAGTTGTATATTTAGTCTATGCTTGGTGGGGGGTTAAAATAAGATTTTTTGTAGATTTTAATAGTTGATGAAATGTGTGGTTGAAAAGTTTTGAGATTTATAAAATATATAGTTAAAATAAATTATTGATTTTAACTTAAATTAAAATCTAAATTTTAATAAGCACACTTTTGCTTATTGGTTTGTGCTTGTTGAGTACAAGGATAAATTTCTTTTATTTTATATTAATAATGAAAAAGTTGTCCCCCAGATTGGTGAAATACTGTTTGTAATTGCTGATTTGAAGTTGCAGTCTGATGTTATTCTGCTTTATAAATTGCTTTTGCATCCTTATACTATGCTATTCACGATGCATTTGTAGAGGGTGAGTGCAAGTTGCTTCTAACAGCCAGTTTTGAGAGGGATTTTTTACTATAAAAAATTGATTTTTTTATTGTTATTTTACTATTTCAGCTGTAATTTTTGACTTCTTCTCTCACGGATGGAGCTCACTTTTCTTCTAACTGTCAAAAAATTAATTCTCAAAATCTCTCCCAAACGGGGCCTAAATTTTGGCAGGCCAGATAGGCTATCCCTGATTCAAATGGCTGAGCTGTTACTTTTAGGAATTGATATAAATTGTTATGATAAATTAACAATGCACTTCTCTCTTGTGTCATGTTTGAGCCACATTCTTTAAAAAAAAAAAATACATTTTTAAACAGTGATTTGACATCATTTTTATCACACATTTTTCAATAAAATAATATTACGCGCAAATTCAAAACTTTTCCTCATATTTTAACCATATATTCTTCATCAATTTACTATTTCAAAATATATTCTTTCAAAATAATATGGCTCAAACACACACTTGGAAAACAAGATTTTACATGTGCATTTTAGGGGTAGACCAATGTCTAATGCTCTTTCTTTCTCAAATGTTGTCTGACTCAAACTTCAGTTTTAACTTTTCTGGTTGATCGAGGTGTCAAATTTCTTGGTTGATATTTCTATGGATATCACCGAGCTGATTGAGACGCTACATGTTTCTCTGATTTCATATGCGAAAATGTGTTGAGTTTATTAAGACACGTGGTTGATCTTAAAAGTTCAATTTTATAAAGAGAGTAACTCGGACACCTTATATGTGGTCTATATTTTTATTTTTGTTCGATGTGGGATTTATCTCTTAACAAGGTTAACACTTGATGTTGAAGCCAGGTTCATGATTATAAAAGAATCTGTTTTTCAGTGTTATTCTTTGTTGAATGGATCTTTTTGTATGGTTTTCGATTCATTCACTACAAATGTGAAAAGTTCTTGAGAAATCTTAATTCCAGACTCAAAAACCATCAAACTAACACCACAATATCAAAGCTCAACCCACACCTTTCCATCACTTTGGTTGCTCCAAATTTCACCCCACAAAGGAGACTCTAACGGTGGTGGTTTATCCAATATCACAAAAGGAGAGAAGAAGGAAGAAGATGTCAAAAAAGACTATGCAAAGCTCTCAATTGCAATGAAAAGACTAATTCTCGTTCGGTAAAGATACTTGGCCAGAGCTGGCTATCCAGGGGCGCCACATGGGCCCCCCATTTGTGGGGGGTCTGTGACATGTGTCTTTGACCGTCAAGTAGAACTCACCTCTCGTTTGTTCTCTCTCTTGCCTCATGCATACACACCTCATGGTTGTTGGAATGAGGATATATAATGGGAACAATACATAACTACTATACTATAAAAGCCATATTTTACAACCAACAATCTCCCTAAATGCTTTCATAAATCAGGTGATAATTCAAATTAATAAATATATACTTATAAGATAATAGACACTAAATTAGAAGTAAATATGTCGGGTGAAATTAAATCCTACAAATAAGGTATTCTACCATATTTACTCTCTCTGTCTCTCTCTCTCTCTCAATCAAACAATATTTCTCTCTACCCACTGACTCCAAAAAAAACTCTCCAAAATCACTGCAATTTCTCCATTAATCCTTGATTTCGAGCCACGATCAACAAATACAGTTACAATCCCATCGATAAACTTCTTATATTCATTGTTTTGGACAACTAGAAGCTGTAATTTTCTCAGCCATTGATTTCCTTATGCAGAGAACAAGAATCAAACCAAAAGATATAAACATTCTTACAATAAAATTGTCGCTTGTTTTCTCCTTCACTTTCTGCCATGGGTGTGAATAAATAGAAACTCGGGAGCAATATAAAAAGCTTTAATCTTTCTGGCATGGAGTGTAGTGTTGGTTTGATATCAATGGATATGGCTCAGGATCTTCTTCAAGTTCATCCAAATTCAAATGTACAACACTGAAATTATCAATCCCAATTATTATCAAGGTTATGAAAGAGCCTTGCTTCTTCCAAATTGTTTGTTTTGCACGGGCAGTGATGCTGTTCTTCTTTCAGTCAAAAGGGGTGACATAAATCACTGCTGGTTATTATCAAGTTTGGTTTCATTGTGATTATCTGTAATCAAGACAATCTTAACTATAATATATGTAACCAAGTCAATGGAATTAGGTTGCATGATCACAATTAATAGAGACTTGGTCACAATTGATTCCAATCAACATAGAATTGATTATAGATGGCCATCATATATTAATTCCCACATTTGTAGACAGCACCACAGCACATACGGTTACAGCTGGTCACAATCAACACTAAAATGGTTACAACCAATCACAATTAATTAGATTTGGTCATAGAGAGTCACCACAAATAAATTCGCATATACCCAGAACAGCAACACAACACAACATATAGTCACACTTGATCATGTCATCGGGTCTGTCCCAATAACTATGATCTATTTTAGGACTGCTCATCTGTCAAAAATTGAAATGTCGAAACAACACAATTTCCTTAAATTTCTCTTTGCCCCAACTCAAATAGGCCCACAAGAACTCCACCTTACAATATCACTGCTTACAACACCGCGATTCCTCTTACAACCGCCAACCGGACCCTAATTCCTTCTCCTAGAGTCAAATCGTTAAGATTAGATCTGAATGACTCCCTACTATTTCGAAAATTCCATCACAAAATGGCGTGGTTTGTGGTGAGGAGGATAATTGGGGGTGCAAAGAGTGGTTTTTGAAGTCGAGGAAGGAGGTCAAAGCGGAAATGGCCAAGAGAGAAACAATAGTGTTGCTGGGAATAGTGAGGGGAAAATTAGAGAGAAATGGCAAAAGAGAAATTGGTGAGAAAGTAGTGAGAGAAATAACAAACGGTGAGAGAGACGTAGTGACAGAAATGATTTTCATATTAATAATGTTATATTTAATTATTTTAATAAATTTGTATTTTGAGACGGTCCATGTCTTAGCCTCATTCTTTCAAAAAATATATTCTTAAACAGTAATTTAACATCATTTTAACTATGCATTATTCAATAAAATAATATTACATATAAATTCAAATTTTTTATATTTTTTAATTACAAATTCTCCATCAATTTACTATTTCAAAATACATTTTTTCAAAATAATGTGACTCAAACACACACCTGATTTGTGAAAGTAAATTCAGTCTATTTTATTTTTGAATAGTATCATTTATGTGTAGCGATTTGGGTGATTTTCCCAAATATAATTGATCAATTAGGTCAACATTTTGGGCCCAAATAATTCACTTTAAATGGGCTAATACATCTCACATGGGCTACTTAAAATCAAAGGCAAACCTAATAACAATTTGGTCAAACTCACATATCCATTAGCAACGAATCCAAACTCCAACTGGGACCATCCTAAAGTATTGGATGTTTTCGTGTCGAGCCAAGTATGTGGTATCGATAAATTATTGGACATCTATTTTAAATCATCATCTGGATATATTGAATATCAGAACCCAACAACTACCAAGCCTGATTGAGTGTTCAACGCATGAGCCGTTATTGAAAATTAATGTAGTGTAAAGATCGATGTTGATTGTGTTTGGCATTTTATAGATTCGTTACTAATGAATAGCCAATGGCATGCTCGTGAAAAAAAGGATTACATTACTTCACAATGCAATAATAAGTGGTTTCCAGCGTTTTTGATTATTGTGAATGATATTTACCATCTGATATTAAAAAAAAAAAAAAAAAAAAACACTTAAA